CATGAAACAGGAATAGATGCTCTAAAAAAGAAATAATCAGAGAACGCCCATCAAGAATAGCATAAATGTGGGGCACCTGGGTGGCTCAGTCAGTTAAGTGTGTGACTCTTGGTTTTGATTCAGGTCCTGGGATGGAGCCCCACGTTGGGTTCTTTGCTCAGCGGGGAGTCTGCTTGTGGATTCTCTCTCTCCCTCTCTCTCTGCCCCTTCTCCCACCCATTTGTGCTCTCTCTCTCTCTCTCAAATAAATAAGTAAATAAATCTTTTAAAAAATAGCATAAATGAGAAGTACAATAAAAGGGTTGGAAGATAAAGTTGAGGAAATTTCCAAGAAAGTAGAAAACAGTAAGAGATAGAAAGCAGGAAAGAGAAGATAAGAAAGTCGGAGAATGAGTTCAGGAGATTCAACATCCAAATAACAGGAGTTCTAGATAAAGAGGGCAGGAAGTAATCAATGGAACTTCCCAAGAAACTGTCCAAGATCTGAAGAACATGGAGTTTCCAGATTGAAATTACCCGCTGAATCATGGAAGTTCCCAAACATTTATTTACCTTCCACACACTTTTTCTCAAGAAGCTACTGGAGGATGTCTTGCACTAAAACGAGGAAGTAAACCAAGAAAGGAAGACAAAGGGTAGAGGAAAGAAGAGATGCAATACAGAAGGACAAAAGGGAGTCTGGAATGATATGAAGACTGATTCTAGGGTATCAGCTGTGCACTAAGCATAGGGGCATTCAGTCCAGGCTAAAGCAGGTCAGAAGGCACCAGGAAAGAATTCCTCATGAGGTTGATAGAATACCTGATGTGAATGAATGTACTGAGAGGGGAAATTTGACAACTGGATTTTGAGATTGAATAAAAAACTTTAGCAAATGAGAAAAAAAAATAGACAATTATAAACTCCACGGGGGTGGGGATTATACATGAGATAAAAAGCAATCATAGTTTACTACATGGCTCGGTATTACTTCCTGGTCATAATGAAATTGACAATGACTATATATTACCAAAATTATAATATATCTATAATTGGAAGATGGTGATGGTGGGTGGATAAGGAGCATGGTGTGTGTGGCATGGGGAGAGGAGTATAGATGAAAGTGAAAGCAGCTTATCTTCCATAGTGGGGGTCAATAGATTGTGCCTAAACCTGAAAAATCAAGAAGCGACAATACAAACATATGTAGAAATATGGAAGTAATTACCAGATGCATCAGCGAAAAGAATTGGAAGTAGCAGTTTCTGAGAAAGGAGAAAGACTGGGTCAGAGGGGCTGGGTACTAATCTTAATCATAATCATTTGTCTTAATCATTCTCACAGAACTCAGTGGCTCTTTCTTTAGACTCTGTATAAGTTCTTTACAAATAAAATCCTTTTAAAAAAGACCATTATATTTCCACACATAGAAATGAGAAAACTTTTTAAAATAATGGCATTATTAAGATGTAATTCACATACTACATGATTCATCCAGTGATTTTTAGTATATTCACAGAGTTGTGTGACCATTACCACCCTTTTAGTGTATTTCATCACCTCTGGAATGTCACTCCACATTTACTCTCAACCATCATAGCCCTAGACAACCACCATTATATATTCTGTCTCTATGAATTTGTTTATTCTGGGCATTTCATGTAAGTGGAAACATGCAACATGTGGTTCTTTGTGTTGGGCTTCTTTCACTCAGCATAATGTTTTCATGCTCCATCTATGTTGTAGCATGAATCAGTACATTATTTCTTTTTATTGTCAAATAATAGTGCATTGCATGGCCATACCACATTTTATTTATCTGCTCATTAGTTGATGGACATTTGGGTTGTTTCTGCTTTTTGGCTATTATGAATAATGCTGCTATGAACATTCATGTACAAGTTTTTGTATGGACATATTTTCTTTTCTCTTGGGTATGTTCCTAGGAGTGGAATTCTTGGGCCATATGTTAATTCTACATTTAAGTTTTTGGTGAACTGCTAGACTTGTTTCCCAAAGCGGCTGCATCATTTTACATAATTTCTCCACATCCCGCCACCATTTGCTATTGTCTGACGTTTTGGTTATAGCCATCCTAGAAGGTGTGAAGTGCTATCTCATTGTGGTGTTGATTTGCACTGAGATAACTTTCAAAAACGTAATAGATTAGCAAAAATAAAATAGGTTGCCAAAACCTCATCTTGAGAAGACTTTGAGGAAATAAATGCTCTTATTTGGACGTATAGTTTGGTACAAATGTTTTGGAGGACAGTCTGGTATATCACAATGTGATAGGTACTTAACATTTGATCAGATTTCCTATTTCTGAGTATTTGACCTATAGAGAAAAATCATATTTTGGGGGAAAAATGTGTCTTCATGGTACCACTGTTTATAACCTCATAGTACCAAAAACTCGAAATAACTTGAATGTCTCTCAAGAAGAAACTGGTTAAATAAATTATGATGCAGACATAAAATCAGGCAGTCATTAAAAATAATAATGCAAGGGGGCGCCTCAGTGGCTTAGTTTGTTAAGCGTCCGACTCTCGATCTCAGCTCAGGTCTTGATCTCATGGTCATGACTTTGGGCCCCGTGTTGGGCTCCATGCTGGGTGTGGAGCCTACTTTAAAAAAAAAAAAAAAATTCATCTTGGCAGTCACTTAGAATTATAAAA